TGGTAAGTTTGTAATAATTTGCCACAGAGCAGTAGAAAACTAATGCAATAGACTAAGGATAGCAAATATAATTGATTATAATAATAAGTATTATGCATTCTAAAGATTGTTTGCCTTCATTATCTCCAGAAATTAGAATAAAGTTGAGTAAACAAAATGAAAATTGTAACTGGCTAGATAACTACCAACAAAAATGCTATGGTTCAACTATTTTTTAAAATGGAATCTCATTTTTGTACTCTCAGATTTTAGTCCTAAGGAGGATTTTAAATATTTTGATACTTGTCTATACATACCAGAAAATCATTTTAATATTGTTATATCAGGATTTGTTGTGGGGTGTCTGTGTAGGTGTTATGTATAACATTTCACAAAACCATGTGATGTCCTGGTTTTCTTCTACAAGTAAAGGGAATGCTGCTATCCTCCAAATGTATGCGATATCCTACCTGATATTATAAAACTGACATGTCCAGTCACAAATAAGTCAATAACCACAGAAGTCCTGGGCTACACACTTTTAGAATATGGCTTGATTTACCAAAGTATCTAGTGGTTTTGAAACCATGTACATCATTTCTTGGACAGTGGCATATTTAATTTTTATTAATTATGGAGAAAACTGTTCTGGTAAGTCTTAAATAATTGCCTGTAACGATTCCTATTTTATACATATCATTATGAGATGAGAAGTTGGTATTAAATTTTGCTTGTAAATATATTACTCAGTAAATTGTTAGCCAGATTTATTTGTTATGCATATGAAAAAGAAATCCTGCTTTTTATATTAGTGTGACTTGAATAGCAGATATTACCAGACATTGATTATATGTTCTGGAGTTTCTCATGTCCTATTCAATAAATCATCTTGTCAGTTCAAATTCTTTGTGATTGATTAAAAAGAAGAATGCATCAAAATGATTCACTGAGAAGAGATTATAATCTGACTACTTTACTGGAGTTATATATTATTCTGTTCATCATTTTCTCTCTTCTTCTGTAGAGGGACTAAAGAGCTTTCTGCAGTTTGCTACCTTAAATGATTGTTTCCCCTGGTATTAATATGGCACAAACTATAAGCTGATGAGATAGTCAGTCAAATGAGAGGGCTTTTATGTGATATATCCTAGAGCTAGTGTGCAAAATCTTGATGACTTTTTCTAGCTAATGGAATTTGGCTTTTGCATTGACAGTTCTAGATCCAGTAAAACAAATAACCCTCTGGTATATTTTATTTATTTTCCTTTATGATAAAAAAATTGAAGTTAAAATCATTGAGTGCTTCAGAAATGATTACAGAAAATCCATAATTGTTCACTTCCTCTATAAATAGTGTTTTCTTTGATAAGAATTCCCTTCAAATATAGAAGGTACTTAGATGGCATTCATTGCACTTCCTTTATAAATGCAAGTCAGTCAGTTCATATGGAAAATACAGACACTCTCTAAAACTGTCAAATGAGAAAACATGGGCCACATATGCGAACTGACTTTCTAACTATAGCAATATAGTTAGAAAATAATATAAAATAAAATAATCCTATTTTAAAATAATTTTAAGACAGCCCTTTATTTCAGAGGGACATATCTATTTCTATGAATTTCATTTATACCTTGATAGTCGGCATGTTTCCTAGCCTGTTTTAGGAAATCAAAATGGTTTTGCTTCGCTTGCTTATTTGTTTAATTACTTACTTTCTTGTGCTTTGTTTTAAGATTACAACTTTATTTTCAGGAGCATTTTTTAACAATTTTATATGAGGCTGTGTAGTGTGCTAATGAGAAGCCAAGTGTCAGGCAGATCTGACTTTAAAACCAATCCATCACCTAAGGGCTTGTGTCACTTTGAGAAAGTTCCTTAATTTTTCTAAACCTCAGTTTTCTTCACCTTAAAATGGTTATAACAAGTGTCCATTGTTGAGAGATTTGAATAAAATAATGAATTAATAATGTCTTAAACTGTTGTCAATATACCATGCAAACTTTCTTTTCCTTATAATAAATTGGCATTTTAAGTTTCATTTCTACATGCAGTGTAAGAAACTTGAAATAATGGTTCAGACACATCAGACCACTGAAACACTTCAACTTGAAAACATTAAGTGATCAATATCTTTCTTTCTTTAATGAGTCAATCACTTTAATTAAATATTTTTCCTTCTGTGGGCATAGTACTTGGTTTTTATAACTGTAAGAGTATTGGAGGGCAGAGATTATTTTGTATTAGACTTCCCAGTAGTGGAATACAATCCTTCATTACCCGCATCAAGGTTTTCTCCTGCTGGTAACTTTCTATATTTCCAATTGAAATTGCATATTCTTTTGAGAGCTGGTAAATTATGTTGGATTTGTTCCATAGTATTTGAGGATATAAATACATATTTTTTGTGGCATTTCACAAGTTTACTGAAAGTAAACAAACTGAAAATACTACAAAAATACCTAGATTTTAGTTTACATTTTTGTGGTATTTTCAGTTTGTTTACTTTTAGTCAGGAGGGGTCGATGTGGTATAGTGAAAAGAAACTTTAAACCAGAGTTAGTGATTTTAATCCTATTTAAGGCTCTCACATTAATTTGCTTATTTTCCTTGAGAAAGCAATTTTTGTCTTCTTTGCTCCAGCTTTCCAGTAATGGTCATTTGAAAAACCACTTCTTTTAAAAACATTATGTGAACATTTGAGAAAAAAAAACGTGATTAGTAAGTACTTGGAAGGCTTGACATTCTCAGGTATATGCCTTCTTCAACTGGACATTTTTGAAGTTCTGTGGATAATTTCAAGAATGTAATATTGTGTTGGCAAGAGTAGATCACAGATGGACTTCATAAGTAATATTTGAGCTTTTGATAGAATAAAATAAAGCAATAACCTGGGCATAAAGAAAATGCAGGTTTTCTTGGGGTGTATGTTTCATAAGGCTGTAGCAATGGCAGTTAATTTAAAATTAGCATCAAAGTCTTTGGAAATTTCAGGATAGCTTACAACTGAAATGTCACGGGATGGCTATATATGAAAAACTTCATGTAGTGCAAGGCATAATAAAGACATTTCAAAGACTTTTATGGAGTGCTTAATATGTGCAAAACATCATTTAACACTTAGAATACAAAAATATGTACTGCTATTCCAGCTTTTTAGGAACATACAATTTACTAGAAGGCGCATATAATCTGTATCTTCTGTTTAAAATATGTTCAAAAGCATATTTTGGCATAGATGTTATAGAGAATAATTTTACTGTAGTTAACGGGTGAGCAGGAGCAGTAAAAATCCTTCACTAGTTATGCAACAATTGACTAGACTTTGTACAAATCAGGAGGAAGCTTCTATGCAGAAGATAGAGAATAGTTACATCGTGTAAAACTAATGGAATGTACATAAACGATGGCATTTTTGAAAATAAGTGTGTAATGCTGGGAGATTAGAATTGGGGGGGTGCCTTTGCCATTTTATGGTTTTTAAATATTTTTTTTATATGCCACTTGAAGATTTTGGCTAAATGAATATGATTATTAGATTTGTTTCTTAGAAATATAACTTTAGCTGGGCTAGGCTTTGGGGGTGGACTGGAAAGTCTGTTCCTTGCAAACATCCAGGTGAGTTAGGAGACTGTTGAAATAGCATAGAAGTGTCAGTGGAGACAGAAAACAACTATGTGAACAGGGTGACATTTCCAAGGACTGGTGCCCAAATCAATAAGTCCATTGAGGGCAAAAGATACCTTTCTTTCATTTAAATAGTGAAACTTCTAAATTTAGGGTAAACATACTGGATGCGAAAAAACTTTGTAATATAAAATTCACAGTTTATGAAATAAAAAAAGGTGCGTATAGACTGATGAAATAGTTGAATTTTTAATTGGATACATGTGTCTAGTTTATATCTATGTTACATTAAGAGAAGTATATTTAAGAAGAAATAGGCTATAGGTATTAATGTTTAAAAAAAAAGGTGTAAAATCATGATTTAATTGACACAGACTTTCAGCATGGGCAGCATTTTCTTGTTCACAGTTGCACCCACAGTGCCTTGACTAGTGTCTGTGACAAGACAAAGGGAGAGGCCAGGCTGTGGGTATTGCTGAATTGATGGATGAGTGGACAAACAACTCCTCACAGACTTGTCTTTGGTTGAATTAATTACTTGTGATTTTGAATGCACATTGGTACAGATTTAAATAATGTCTGTTGAACAAGAACCAGTACATGTGAGGCAGTGTTAACATAGTGGAAGGACTGTGGACTAGGAGTTAGAGGGACCTCATGTCTAATTCCCAAGTTATACCATCTGGGTCTGAGTTTCCTCATCTAAACCTGATAGTAAAATGAGCCACTTTATAGAGTTGTTGTGAGTATTAAAAAATTGCATATAAAGTAGGTTACATAGTACTTTTTAGCCATTGAATGTTAATTTTTTTAATGTGGACTTAGCTTAATGACTTCACTCTGTGTATAGTGAAAATAGACATAGAAGAGCTTAGTCTTTATTTAAAAAAAAATACTCCAGCTCAAAAATGAAGCAGTGTAATTATGTTAAATAATTTAAACAAACTGAAATCAGGAACTGTGTTTTGATATCAGTTTATTTTTCCTTTTCTATTAATACGAATTATACTTATTTCCATATATTTTTGGAAGTAAAAGGAAGCCATGAAACTTTAACAGGAATGCATCAAAATAAAACAGTGTGTAAGTTTGCAAAACTAATAACTGATTCCGAATAAGTTATGAGAACACAAAATGATCATTTGGGTAAGAATACTCAGCTATGAGAAATGGCACATTTAAGTAAAGGATAATATTTGAAAAAATATATATTAAGCACAATTTGTTCTTACTTGTACATCTTCCTGCTGCCCACAGTGGCAAAAAACAATAAGACTGATTGCAATCAAGACTGTCTTGTGAGACTGAAAAAGAGAAAAGAAGTTCTGGTACTTACTGGTCTGCATTCATATTTTGATATGGGGAAATTATTTTAACTTTGTTTTACAGATTTACTTACGATTCTTGGACTATGAGATGCAGAATTCAAATGAATGCAAAAGGAATTTTGTGGCTGTGTACGACGGAAGCAGTTCTGTGGAGGATTTGAAAGCTAAGTTCTGTAGCACTGTGGCTAATGACGTGATGCTGCGCACAGGTCTTGGGGTGATCCGCATGTGGGCGGACGAGGGCAGTCGAAACAGCCGCTTTCAGATGCTCTTCACGTCCTTTCAAGAACGTAAGATTCTTTGCGCTTGACTATTTGTCCTTCACATATGTCATATGATGAAGTCTTATAAGCTGTTAATGGTGTTTTCTTCACGCAGTGTGAGCACAGCAGGGTGTTCCCTAAGTTGTTAAAATCATTGAGGTTCCCTTTCCTTCATTTTGATCCAGTGACAGGAGAGAGTTACATATCACATTCTGATGACTTATTTCAGCATATGCATCACAGCCTTGCTTAGGACAGTTGACACTATTCAGTTGGGAAATGATGAATTTTGTCTGTCTTTGGTTTAGCTCTTACGAAGGGATGGAACTGATGCAGCAGCTTCTGATGAAGTTTGAGGTTAAATCTTAAAAATCCTGCATAAAAACATTTGGTAGGTCCTCTTTAGTAAGCTTCTTTTGCAGTCCCGTTTATTTCAAGTAGGTTTGTGACTATAGAGTTCCTATTAAAGTTGGCAAAGATAGAGAATTGCAGGGTACACAGTAAACAGAAAAAGCTTCAGAAAATATTTCAAATGGCAAAATGGGTGATATCCAGATTTCTGTGCAAAGCACAGAAATTTTAGAAAACAATTTTCTGATAAATAGTGAGTTATATTAATAGATATGTCTTGAATATTTTGAGAAATGCTTAATAATTCAGGTTTTACAAATTTATGTAAATTAAAAAAATCTAAGACATTGTATTTTAAGAATAAGCTCATTGTACTCTGAAATTATACATTTTTATTTAAATAGAAAAGACAATATTTTTGAAATTTCAAGGATTCCTGTTATTGTCAGTATCACAGAAACCAATTTTTTAGTAATTCATGAATGGTAAATGCATTAGATCATTCTTTTATATAATGAATAGTTTTGGCTTTAAATTTCTTCTAATTACCGAGTTGGGGAAGTCTAAGGCACTGGAAGTACTGAATGGCACTCAGTCTTTCTAAATCCTGCTACCATCATCCAGTGTATTAAATATCTCTCTCAGCTTTATGTCAGACTTAAACAGCATGTTGCTATCTATGTCTTCATTTCAGGAGCTGATTAAATGTTAGAGGTAGTACATTTTTATTTTGGCAGGGTATTTGGGAAAAAAAATCTCATCATATTCTTGACTAGAATAGGAAGAGATTCAGACAACAAGATTACATTTTTAGTATTTCACTGGTGATTGCTTCATCGTAGTCAATGAACTGTGCCTTTCGTGAGAGGTTTCAGGGTTCTGTTTGTATTTGATATTCTTTTCAGTCTCATATAATAGCAATGAGATCTCCTATCTAATTTAAATGACAAAAGTATGGAAGTGCAAGCTAATTTGTTAGCGGGTATAATCAAGATTTTTAAAATATTGCAAAAATGTAATTTTTTACCAAAACTGTGTCATAAAGTAATAGGGATAAGTGAAAAATTATATTCTTATATCTCAAAAATCAACTAAACAATAGTACAGAGGAGCCCTGTTTCCTGGGACTTTCTTTTATTTCATTCAACTCAGTGTGAGCCAATACTTTCAATACAGTTGACAAAAATTGTCTTAAGTCGTATTAGCCTATGTCTGAAAAAACGCAGTAACAGTGGCAATAAAATATTAGTCTCATGAGTAGCTGCACTGGTTAAAACTCAAAAGGCATTGCCAGTTCTTTCCGGGCACTATTAATAAGGAGTGTAATCACTTGGAAGATCCTGACAAAGATGCAGAAGCATCTAGAATCACGATAAAATGACAGAGAAGAACTGTTTACCTTAGAGCCCTTTTTTGTTATTCAGGTAACTACATTTGATTTAATGTTGGGTGATATGGATTAATGTCTCTCTCTTTTTTTATTTCACAATAATTTTATTTATTTATTTGATGTTCTAATCAAGACAATTAGTATATTCTTCATTATACAATATAATTGATTTTCATGGCGCTTTATCAATTCCTCTTTTCACCTCTCCCCCTTTCCAATATCTCAAAGATAAAATTAATGTTTGAAAATTTTAGAGAAATTTTTTAGTGCAATTTAAGAGAAAATGTCTAGTTCATGTGATATTCAAAAATGAAATGGGTGCATATAAAGAATATAGACTCTATAGAGGGATGACTCCATGTGAAATGTATTGCCATCTGTCATGAATCATGTTGGGGAGACATGTATGTTGAATAGGGGGAAAAATTGGCTAACATCCAAGGTCTTTTTCAACTCTAAAATTGATTAAGTTTTATGAGTCGTTAAAATCTGCATATATATGAAATGGTAGATTATATCATACTGTGCATATATCATTAAAATTATGTCTATTGAGATAAAAGATAGAGTTTCAATACACATGATTAAATAATCTTTGGAAGTCATTTAAGTGAGCAGACTTTTCAATGAGTAATCCAGAAGACAAAAGGTATTATTCCTACAAGGGAATAAGGCCAACCAACCCTGTATATTTTTACACAGTGTATGAATTATTTATTGCTCTCTTTAAATGATCAGCATTACAATGGCATTCTCCGTGATTATCTCATTAACTTACAATAAGTTTTTGCTGAAACAAGTTTATCCTCTGTGTCATGTTGCCTGTTATATAGTCTGAATGTTTTTGTTCCCCCAAAATTCATATGTTGAAAATCTAATCACCAGTGTGAGAGTGTTAGGAGCTGGGGCCCTTGGGAGGTGATTAGATCATGAGGGCAGAACCCTCATGAATGAGATTAATGCCTGTTGTGGACTGAATATCCTCCAATATTTATTGAAGCTTGACCCCCTTCTAACAGTGTTAAGAGGGTGGGATATCCAATTATTGTGTTTGAAAGGTGGGGCCTTTATTAGGTGATTGGATCATGAGGACTGTGCCTTCATGAATTAATTAATCCGTTCATGGAGTAATGGGTTAATGGTTTAATGGGCTATCAGGGAGTAGTTCTGATGAATTTACAAGAACAAGTAAGCACATTAACTCTGTAGCTCTTGCCATTCTCATCATGTGATACCCTGCATTGCCATGGGACTCTGCAGAGCCTTCACCAAAGAATAAGGCCCTTACTATATGTTTACCCCCGACCTTGGACTTCCAAGCCCCCAAAACTGGAAGAAATAAATTCCCCCTTTAAAAAAAATAAATTAGTGTTTCAGATATTCTGTTATAAGCAGTGGAAAATGGACTAATACAGCAAATTGGTACTGAAAAATGGGGTGTTACTAATAAGGAATACCTGAAAATGTGGAAGCAGCTTATGAACTTGGTGATGGGAAGAGGCTGAAAGAATTTGGAGAAGCAAGACAGAGAAAGTCTAGATTCTGGTGAGAACTTAGAAGACAAGAAGACTAGGGAAAGTTTGGAACTTCTTAGAGATCGGTGAAATGGTGGTGACCAGAATGCTGATAGAAATATGAACTGTAAAGACCATTCTGAGGGGGTATCAGAGGTAAATGAGAAGACACTTATTGGAAACTAGCAAAGATCACCCTTGTTATGAATTCACAAAGAACTTATTTAGATTGTATCCATACCCAAGGGTTTCATGAAATGTGGACTTAAGAGTGATGAACCAAGTTATTTGGTATAAGAAATTTTTAATCAGCAAAACATTTAGGCATCTGCATGGCTACATCTAACAGCGTATGCTAAATTACAGCAGCAAAAGCATGACTTAAAGGCAGAATTTATAATTAAAAGGGAAGTAGAGGGGAAAAAAATTGGAAAACTCTTTACCTGTCCATGTAAAGAGTAAAAAAGTATGTTCAGAAGAAACCAAGGACATAGGCCAGTGACCATTTGCTGAAGGGATTAGTACAGAAAGAAGAAATCATCAGTAGAATAGAAAAAAAGACCTTGATGGCATTACCGAGACCTTTGAGGTTTCTCCACTCACCACAGGCCCAGAGGGCTAGGAAGACAGAATGGTTTCAAGGAACAAGTTTGAGGTGACCCCCGTAGGCTCGCCATCCCGAGCTGTCTCAGGATGCTGCTCTGTGCATTCCAGCACAATACTTCTGGACTGCCCTAGATGTAGTGAAAATGCCCCCAGGTAATTCTGGATCTGCTGCTTTGAAAGACACAAGCCCAAAACCTTGTAGCATCTATGTGATGTTAAGTGTGCGGGCTTGCAGAATGCCAGGGCCATGAAGGCCTGGCAGCCTCCACCCAGATTTTGAGGAATGTATGGAAAAGCCTGGGGCCCAGGAAGAGATTTGTAACAAGGGTGGAGTCACCTCAGAGAGCCTCACTATGGTAATGCTGAGTGTAAATGTGGCTTTGGTATTTCATCAGAGAACCCCCACCAGGGCCATGCCCGGTGGAGCTGTGGGAGTGGAACAACATGGAGACCCCAAAATTGTAGAGCCACCAGCATGCAATGCCAGCCTGGGAGAGCTGAAGCGTGGCTTGAGCTCAGAAAAGCCAAAGGGGTGGTGCAGCCTGAGGACTTGGAGGCCCAACCCCATGCCAGTATGCAAAAAATACTAAACATGGAGTCAAGGGGGAATGTTCTCCAGCTTTAAGATTTAATGCCTGCTCTGTTGCATTTTGAACATTCTGTTACCTGTTACTCCTTGCTTTGGCTTTTTTCTCCATTTTGGAATGAGAAATTCTGTCTTATGCCTATTCCCCATTGTATCTTAGAAGTAGATACCTTGTGTGATTTCACAGACAAGACATTGGACTTTTTCAGTTTGTGATGGACAAGACTTTGGGGATTGGAAACAAAATAAATGTATTTGCATGTGAGAATAACATGAATTTTAGCGGGGCATGGATGAACTGTTGTGGATTGAATGTCCCCCTAAAATTAACTGAAGCTTGACCTCCATTGTAACAGCATTAAGAGAGTGGGAAATCCAATTATGGTATTTCAAAGGTGGAGCCTTTATGAGGTGATTGGATCCTGAGGCCTGTGCCTTGGTGAATGAGTAAACCCATTCATGGAGTAATGGGTTAATGGTTTAATGGGTTATCAGTGAGTGGTTCTGATGGCTTTATAAGAGAGTGAGTGAGCATGTTAACAAGAGCTCTTGCCATTCTCTCCATGTGATACATTGTGTT